ACTGGGGGCTGGTTTACAGATCCAGAGGTTTAGTCCATTATCTTCTTGGTGGTATACAAAAAGACATGGTGCTGGAGAAGGAGCTGAGTGTTCTATATCTTTATCTCTAAGCAACAGGAAGTGAACTGATACACTGGGTGTGGCTTGAGCATATATGAGACCTTAAAGCCTGCCTGCCTCCACAGTGGCACATTTTTTTTTCTAACAAGGCCATACCTCCTAATAGTGCCACTTCCTATGGACCAAGCATTCAAACATAAGGGTCTACGGCAGTCATGCATATTCAAACCACCACAACAAATAGAACATTTTAGAGAAGAATAATTGCTCAGGTTTAAATATACTTAACACTTTCTATGTATGTTCAACAAGATGACAAGCTTTGCAGGTCAGTGGGGAGATCATGAACTTCATCTTAGACATGCTAAATTTGAGGAGGAACTACCAAGTGAAGAACTTAGCAGCCAAACCTAGGTCTAGTCAATCTAAAGAGCTACTTAGGTTGTAAACAGACATTTTGATATCATTTGACTATATGTGCATGAAAAAGAGATTTTTTTTCTAGAGAGGGGAAAACTTTTTAAATAAAATATTACAGTAATTGCAACCTTAATTTGGCAATAGTTTCTTCAAAATATATAAGAACATAAGAAATAAAAGAAAAAAATAGACAAATTAGATTTTACCAAAATTGAAGGCTTTCCTACTTGTGAAACAGCTTGGCCGTTAAAAGGACTTGCCACCCAGTTCAATCCTTGGGACCCACATGGTAGAAAGAAAGAACTGACTTGTGCAAATTGTTCTTTAACCTCTCCATGCACAAATCACTCCCTTCCTTCCTCTGAACAAATAAACTTTTGTGTATAAAAAGATAACATTAATAAATTAAAAAGATAAGCTCTAGAATGGGAGGAATGCTGGGAAATTATTCATCTGATGAGGATTACATATTCCAATCTACAAAGCACCCTTATTCTTAATGATAGGATAGACCAACTGAGAAATGGAACAAACAGGGCTGAGAACATAACTTAGGTAATAAAATATTTATCATACAAGCTTAAGGATACCATTCAATTCCTAGGACCTATGTAAAAAGCCAAATATAGATTAGTCTTACCTGTCTGCTCTATCATATTGTTGTATTCAAAATATTCTTTTTTTAAAAAAAAGAAAGCTTTTCTTGTTTTTATTGACCACATCTGCAAGTATTCTTCAGTTAGATATTTTTTTGAAAAAAAAAATTCCTGCCTCCTCCCAGCCTCCCATTTCCTTCCCCCTCCTCCCGCCCCTCTCCCCCTACCCCCACTCTCTCCCCCTTCCTCTCCAGTCCGAAGAGCAGTCAGGGTTCCCTGCCCTGTGGAAAGTCCAGGGTCTTCTCCCCTCCATCCAGGTCTAGGAAGGTGAACATCCAAACTGGCTAGGCTCCCACAAAGCCAGAACATGCTGGGCAAAAAATTGGGATCTTCGGGGTGGGGTGGGATGGGGGTAAGGGGAGATGGGAAGAGAAAAGTGAGAAGGGGAGGATGGGGGAACTTGAGGAAACGGGATGATTGGGAATAAAACAAGGTTGGATAGAGGAGCAGGGAATCACATAACTTAATTAAGGGAACCACCTTAGGGTTGGTAAGAGACATGAACCTAGAGTGGCTCCCAGGTGCCCAGGGCAATGTCCCCAGTTAGTTCCTTGGGCAGCTGAGGATAGAGAACCTGAAATGACCCTATCCTATAGCAATGCTGATGAGTATCTTGCATATCACCATAGAACCTTCATCTAGCAATGGATGGAGATAGAGACAGAGACCCACACTGGAGCATCGGACTGAGCTCCCAGAGTCCCAATGAGGAGCAGGAGGGAGAACATGAGCATGGAAGTCAGGACCACAAGAGGGGCACCCATCCACCGAGACAGTGGGGCTGATCTATTGGAAGCTAACCAAGGCCAGCTGGACTGTGACTGAAAAATCATGGGATAAAACCGGACTCTCTGAACATGGCAGACAATGAGGGCTGATGAGAAGCCAAGGACAATGGCATGGGGTTTTGTTCCGTATTCAAAATATTCTAACAGCCAAAATGTCTTCTAGAGAAATATTGCACTGCAAACATTAGGGGTTTTTTTTTGTCTTTTGTCTTAACAAATTATCTTTTCTCATACACACTGTCACAATGAAATATATGAAAATTACTAAATTGCTGCAATTCCAGTCTAGTAATAACTTCAGGAATATCTTCTACAACATGACTGTCATTGTGACAGAGCGGAAGAGCAAGGTGGAGAGTGGTCTACTCACACAGAACAGCTGAAGAAAGCCATATGGGCTACAGACCCCAGGAACTGAGGCATCATCTGTAAAAGGAAGCTGAGATCTAAAAAGCTGGAGTAAAGAATGTTTTAGCAGTGAAAAGGCATGGACAAAGGTCCTGAATGAAGAGTGAACTTGACATTTTAAATGTTAACAGGGAAGTGTGGATGGAGAGAAGACACAGAGAGAGTGATGTCCTGAGGGTGGTTGGGATACAAAGGGAATTGTATAATATATGTGTGAATAAGTACATTTTATATGTAGGCTAAACTGTAATAGCAATGCATAGAAAGTTTTAAGCACAAGAATTTCATAATATGGCTTATATTATTAAGATAAAAATTGTGGTTTTAGTGCAAAATCCATAAGAGGAATCAATAAAGAGGCGTGTAGCATCTAAGTGTGGAATAATGATGAATTAGGTGCTGAATGGAGGGGACAGCAGAATTCGTGTTGGAAGAATAGTTAGCAAGACTTGCAAACAGCTGCGTTTTCCAGTTGTGTAAGGGAAAGCATATGTGATTGGCAACCAGAATTTGGATTGATGCAAGCATTCTCTGTTGAGATGAAAGCGACTGAAGAATTCTGATTTTTAAGAAGACATTTAATATTAGACAGGTAATTTCCTGTGTAATTAAAGTAGATAGATTAAATTTTCCTTTTGAAATATACCTTTTATTGAGTTAAAAAAAATACTAAAAAGTTTAAATTATCCAGGTATGGCAATGTATGTCTGTCACCTCTCACAAAATAAATGAAAAAAGCAAAATTCTGAAGCTAACAAAGCCAAAGTAGGTAGAAATAGATTCTAATAAATGGGAGGGCAAGGGTTTTTCTAGTGCATAATTTTATAATACTTAAGTCCCATAGGTGTCATTATTTGGTGTATTAGTTACTTTTTATTGCTGTGATGACATATAATGACCATAAGCAAATTATAAAGTAAAGAGATTAATTTGACCTCTGGATCCAGAGGGGAAAGCTAGTAATGGGAGCGAAGGCAGCAGGGTACACGACAAGAACAGGAAGCTGAGAAGGCAATATCACAGAGAAAGCGCAGACAACAACCTGAAAGTGGAACAAGGTGATAGACTCTCAGCTAGAGACTCTTACAGCCCTTTCTCAGTGACCCACTTCTTCAAGCTATAGACTCTCAAAGCACCCCCCCCCAGTGACACACTTTCTCAAGCTAGAGACTCTCAAAGCCCTTCCCCAAGTGACGCACTTTCTCACGCAAGTTTCCTGTCCTGAAAGTTCCATTGTTTAAATATAAGAGCCTATGAGGGTAATTTCTCATTCATATCACCACTCTTCATAAGAAACATCTCATTTACTTTACTTAAAAGGACGATAACAGAGAACAAGTTTCCTTGAAGATCCATTTTTATCACAAAACATATATAGCTAATATACATTATTTTTTAACATCTCCTTGAATTATATTTTTCTTAGAAAACAAAGAATCATCATTATTTGGTTCATATATGACCTGTGAACATCTAATCGCAAAACAACAGTATATATTTGAATATATGCTTGAACTTGAGTCTGAGGTCAGAAGTCAGCAATTATATATAGGGGTGGCCTAAGGAAATTTCCCTTTATTCAGTGGAGGAAAATATATTATTCAACGTTGGACATATTCAGCAAAGTTTTAAATTATTGTTTTTATACTGATTTGGTTTGTGTTTTGGAGAAGTTAATGCACAGTTCACTGCTGCCCTCTGCTGCCCACAGGGTTGAGGAGAGAACTCAGAAGAATGGTGAGGGACCTACAGAGCTGCTTCCTGAAAACACTACCAGGTAAGAGCTTCTTTAGGACCACACCAACTCATCCTGGGTAAAACACACTGACTGAATTTCAGGGCGACACAAGCTTTTGAATCAGATTCTTAGTGTGTCTGAAACACCCTCACAACTCAGAAAAGAAGATAACTAAAACAAAACCCATATACCAGACACGATCTTCATGAATCAGTTACTTTTTTCATAGAAATGGTCTGAAGCCAGAGGAAGCATCTCATTATTAAGAGGTCAGCAAAGTTTCTTTTGAGGGGTTAGTGTATAATTGTGGGAAGAGCATCCAGAGAACACAATGTTCGAATGGCCAGTCAATGATCAAATCTTACAGAGGCAGACCCAACAAAAGCCAATTTTGCCTTTTAGAAACTGGGAAACGTTTTTTGTTGTTTTGTTTTCAGTTTTGTTTTGGTTTGTGTGGAAGGCATCCAACAGTGAGAGAACACGATGTGCCTCTTACCGACGGGAGGCTTGTTACAATGGAAGCAACCCTTAAACCGCATTCAATCAAACATGCAAACATTCATCAGCAAACAGGAAGAAGTCACCCAACCAAGTCATGCAAGCTGGCTGTTTTCTCAGGCCTCAGAATGCTCTTAAGCTAACTCTCGTGATGACCTGCTGGCCAAATCAGCCCACTTTGTAGTGAAGCTGCTACACACTGAGTCACTTTGGCCATGAATGGAATGGGGAGCAAGAGAGGCAAACCAAATACTGTAGAGACCATGTCATGCCCCACCCTAAAATATAAGAATATTTTCTTCCATTGACAAAATAATATTAGGCTATCCAGTAAAACTAAAAATCATGGTAAGTATTATTTCATTCCCAGTTTCCTTCCATGCCTAAATGTAATTAGCATTTCCATTTCAAATGTAATTAGCAACATCTTACCTCCATCTTTCAAAGATTTCCTTGTGTTCCTCTGACTTGTCCAATGGTCACGAGAGAAGAAATTTCTCAGATTAGATGGGAGTGTACCTCTGAAGCTAAATGAAAAGTCATGTTGAGGCCGATTTTAGTTGGCAAAATCAACAATGTTTTGCTTTTGGCAAGTAAAATAGTGCTTTGATTTGTGATAGGAGCGAAACCATTGGCAAACAGAGCTTTAACGTCAAGTTCTCTTTCGTTTCCCAGTTGATTACTCATAAATCAGCTTTGTACAATTATCTACCTGTGTTTTGCCTGCCTAACTGCAACTCTCTTGATATTTGCAATTTTAGATATTATGTTTTAAATACTAATGTCCCGTTAGACAAATGGCTTTAAAATAATTTCATTCAATGTGTTGGGTGTCTTTTCAAGGTCTGTGGGTTAAATTTCAGGCACACTCATACATGGACACACCACATACACACACACACGTTTTTTAAAAAATCTTGCAAATCAAAGGCAAAAAAGCTACACTTTTACGCTTATTAGGGTGACTGATACCAAAATGTCAAATTATAATATCTCGGAAACATATGCATAACGGGGTACTATTTATTTATTTTTGCTTTGCAGTGCCTGTTCTCTTGGAAATAATATTTGTAAAATCAGTTCCAAGACCAGTCATGTAGCTTTCCCAGTGTTTTCATTTAGAATGTTTGTGGTTTCCAGCCCTATAATTAAATCTAAATCCGTTTCTGTTGGCTTGTGTGTATTATATAAGCTAATGGTCCAATTTCATTGTTTTGGGTATGGATGCTCGGAGTTACGAGCGTCATTACTCTGACAGTTTATCCTTTTCTCATTATATATTCCATGCGTCCTTGTTGAGAATTAGTGACTGTGAACTTATGGATTTATTTCTGTGCTCTTTGCTACGCTGCATGACTTCATACATCTCATTCTGTGCTAGTTCTTAGCTGTTCTGATCACTGAAGGTCTAGAATGTATGAGAAATTTCTCAATCTCAGTCATCAAAGGAAAAAAATAGCAGTCAAGGCTAGGGAGATGGCTGAGTGTCTTACTTCGGGTTTCTATTGCTGTGATGAAATACAACGATAATTAAGTTTGGGGAAAGGGTTTATTTGCTTTACCCTTCCATATCACTGTTCATTATTAAAGGAAGTCGGGACAGGAACTCAAAAAGGGTAGGACGCTGGAGGCAGGAGCTGGTACAGAGGCCATGGAGGGGTGCTGTTTACTGGCTTGCTTCTCATAGCTTGCTCAGCCTGCTTTCTTATAGTACCCAGGAATCCCCAGTGCGATAATGGCACCACCTGCCGTGAGCTGGGTTCTCTCCCATTGACCACTAATTGAGAAAATACCCCACAGCTGGCTCTCCTGAGGCTCCTTCCTCTCTGTTTATTCTAGCTTGTGTCAAGTTGACATGCAAAACCAGATACTATAACTCACCCCTTGTCTAATTGTCATACAAACACTTCCTTATTCCTTCCAAAGATCTCACAATTAAAATCATAACATTTTAAATGTCTCACAACCTTTACAAATACAACCATATTAGAGTTTCAGTCTCTTTAAAATATCCTGAGAAAATTGAGAGCATGGGGGTGGAGGAAAGGGAGGGCAGAAGGGGAGGAGGAAGGGAGAAGGGAGGAGGAGCACATGAGGGAATGGGATGGTCGAGACGGGGGAAGAACAGAAAGGGAGATTAAGAAAAGAGATATCTTGATTGAGGGAGCCATTATGGGGCTAGCAAGAAACCTGGCACTAGGGAAATTCCCAGGAATCCACAAAGATGACCCCAGTTAAGACCCTAAGCAATAGTGAAGAGGATGCCTAAACTGGCCTTCCCCTGCAATCGAATTGATGGCTACCTTAATTGTCGTCATAGAACCTTCATCCGACAACCAATGAAAGCAGATGCAGGGATCCTCAAGTGAAGCACTGGGCTGAGCTCCCAAGGTTCAGTCAAAGTAAGAGAAGAACAATAATATGAGCAAAGGGATCAAGACCATGATGGGGACACCCACTGAAACAGCTTACCTGAGCTAATGAGAGCTCACTGACTCTGAACTGACAGTGGGCAAACCAGCATAGGACCGACCAAACTAGGCCCTCTGAATGTTGATTGGCAGTTATACGGCTGGGACAGTCTGAGGGGCCACTGGCAGTGGGGCCAGGATTTATCCTTGCTGCTTGAGCTGGCTTCTTGGAGCCCTTTCTCTTTGGAGGGATACCTTGCTCATTCTAGATATGGTGGGGAGGGCCTTGGTCCTGCCTCAAAGCAATGTGTAAGACTTTATTGACTCCCCATGGGAAACATTACCCTCTCTGAGGAGTGGATGGTGTGGGGTGACATGGGGAGAAGGTGGAGGAAGCAGGTGGAGGGGAGGGAGTGGGAACTGGGATTGGTAGGTAAAATTTCAACTAAATAATAAATGAAAAAATGATGAGAAAAAAATACCCAATGTCTTTTAAAAGTTCAAGTCTTTTGACTGTGGGCTCCTTTAAAACTCAAAATGAAATCAATACCTTCTTCAGGATTGAAGAACAAGAACACTGTCACAAACTCAACCAAGCAAAACCAAACTCCAGCAGTATAAGCAACTCAGTGCCCCATTTTCTGAGATTCACTGGTGATCTTCTGGACTCCTCCAAAGGGCTTGGGTCATATCTCCTGCTTTACCCTCTTCAGTTTACCGAGTTTGTCTTCTGGCTTTGGCTGGATCCACTCCACTGCTGCTACTGTTCTTGGTGGCATTCCCATGGTTCTGGTATCTCCAAAATACTGGGGTCCCTTGCTGCAACTGGGTTGCACTTTTACCAATAGCTTCCCATAGACTCTCTTCATGGTGCCAAGCCTCCCCTTCTGGGCATGACCCCTTCAGTCCTGGGCCTTTGACTGCCACTGAGGCTGCACCTTCACAAGTGGCCTCTCCTGGCTTCTCCCAGTTCCAAGTCTCAGCTGTTCTCCATCACCCCTTCATGCCTTCAAAACCAGCACCACCTGGGTGATATTTACACTTTACCAAGTCCTGCTGGCAACACGAGGTACAGCCATGGCTGCCTCTAGAACACAGAAACTCTGTGCTCTCAGGAAACACTTCCCGGAAGATTTCACCTTAGTGATGCTAGCATCTTCTTAATCACCACTGATTTCTCATCTTTAGCCGAGACGCATCAGCTGTTCGGTAACATAGAGGTTTAGCTTCAGTAGATCTAGGGTCTTGTTCCATCACAGCTGAATCTTCAGCCCCAGCTACCAGAGCCACAGAATCTTGATTCAAAATAACAAATGGCCTTGACAGAGTCCTTAAAGTTCCCTCTGAACTTTGCAAGTCAGACCTCCATCCTCTGCACTGCTCTCAACTTTCTTATCTCACAGGTTCTCACAGAGCTCTTAACACTTCCTGGCTCTTCTAACCCAAAGTTCCAAAGTCCTTTCGCAGTCTCCCCGAGAACATGGTCAGGTCTGTCACAGCCATACGTCAATGTGCTGGTACCAATTTGTCTCAGTTAGGGTTTCTATTGCTGTGGTGAAACAGTATGACCATAAAACAAATTGTAGAAAAAATGGTTTATTTGTCTTACCCTTCCATATTGTTGTTTATTATTGAAAGAAGTCAGGACTGGAACTCAAACAGGTCAGGATGCCGGAGGTAGGAACTGATGCAGAGGCCATAGAGGAGTGCTGCTTACTGGCTTGCTTCTCATGGCTTGTTCAGCCTGCTTTCTATAGAACCCAGGACCACCAGCCTAAGGATGGCACCACCCACCACGGTGCAGGGATCCTCAAGTGAAGCACTGTGCTAAGCTCCCAATTGATCACTAACTGAAGAAATGCCTAAAAACAGAATCCCACTGAGGCACATCCTCAACTGAGACTCCTTCCTCTCTGATAACTCTAGCTGTGTCGAGTTGACCCACAAACCTAGCCACGACTCTTGGCTTGTAAAACACATGCTTTACAAGTGTGACAACACCAGAATCCAGATTGTAAGCATGCACGTGAACACCTGCTGGGCGCGTGTCTCTTGCTTGTGATTCCTGAGCTCAGAAAGGAGATAGATACAGGAATTTCCCTGAGCAAATTGGCAAGCTGTATAATCCCCAAGTTCTTATTATCAAGTTCTCTGTTCAACTGAGAAACCCTGACTCAATGAACAAGGTAAACAGCTATCAGAGAAGATTCCTGATGTCCACCCTCAGCCTCAATATGCACATAGATGTGCACTTGCCCCTACAATTGGCCCCACACATAGAAACACACATGATATATATANGAAAGAAAAGTTCATATTAAATCTACAATGAGTTATTTTTTATTCTACATTTCTTAGGATACCATCATCTAATAGTCAAATAATTGTAATGAATATTTACAAGAGAATGGAAAAAAGGGACCCTTTGTACACTGTTGATGGAACTGGTATAGTCATTAATGAAAAAAGATGTGGAGGTTCCCCCAAAAGACCTGAAAATAAAAATACCATTTGATCTATCCATTCCACTTTTGGGTAGATATCCAAAGGAATTGGAATTAATATCTCAAAAATGTATCTTCATTCTTAAGTGCATAACAGTATTAGTTACAAGATAATATGAAAACAACATGTGTGTATTAGAGGATAAGTAGATAAAGATAAAATATATAGATATGTTCAAATGTGATAATTAATGTCTTATGTGAGAATATTTACATGTAAAGGAAGTATGACTATATACACAGAGGCAATTCAGTGAAATGCCAGTTAGCCTTTAAAAATATCTTGCCACAGATGAGTGGTTCCTGTGAACATTTTGTCATGTAAAATCAGGAAAACACATAGATTAATTCTACATTATCTCACATGTGAAACCCAACATCAAACTCACAAAAACAGAGTAAACAACCATTGCTTAAGGCCATAGGATGGGAAAATGGAGACTACAAACTTCCAATATAAGATCACATGTACAGCATGGCTTTCTAGTAATATATTACATACCTGGAGTTCAAGGAAAATCTACCTTAAGTGATTTCATTATTAAAATGATAAGTATTCAATGATTATGATAATAGCTCAATTGTGGTCATGTCTTTAGAACTACATGTAACTAAAGCATCCTTTGGTTTATGTTAAATGAGTACAACCTATACTTCTCAATAACACTGCAGCAAAGCTTAGGGAAAGAAAAAAAATTGAGGTTATGGTGTTATAATGCTGCCATACTAGGTTGGTTGAAGACACAGATGAGTGGCGTCTTGGAATTTAAATACTTGATATTTCTTACTCTTATTATCTTTGATTCCCTCTTCTACAATGACCTCTGAATCTAGGGGGAGGTGTATATATATGTTGTAGATGTCTACACACAGTTTCTTATTCTCTGAATGTTGACTAGCTGTGGGTCACAGTGTTGACCACTGGGGTGGAGAGATGCACTAATCCATGTGTATAAAGACTAAAAGGCAACTTAATGCTTTGTCCGGTTAGCAAAATAATAGTATTAGGTTATTCCCTGGGCTGATGACCTAACCAATTACAGGAGTTGGGCCCACTTAACAATCAAATAAACATGACCAAAGATTCATACAATGCAAACTTTAAGACACTGACGAAGGAAATTGAAGCAGCTACCAAAAGATGGAAATACATTCTATCCTGCACATGGATTGGAAGGGTTAATGTTGTAAAAATGACCATCCTTTTAAAATCAACCTACAGAGTCAACATAATCTACATCAAAGTTCCAACACAAATCCTCACAAAAAATGAGAAACATAATCATAAAATCCACATAGAGACACATAAAAGATCAAAGATGAACATATACTTTTATTTAAGTGTAAAAGCAAAAAAAATTATCAAAAGATTGATGTATAATATTAACACAAAACATTGCAGAAGTGATGGCTGGAGGATGGACAAGGGCCTTCATAGTGATCAATAATATGATTTTTACATATTCTTGCCAGGATAACAAACACCAGTAAGGAAATTTCCTTAGGAAAAATGAATCCAGAAATTTAAAGTTGCTTAAAAAAAAAAAAAGGTAGGATTTGTTACTGCTAAGTTTTGAAAGGGCATCTGAAATAGAAAAGCATGGATATTTAAGTCTGTACCTAATTGGTAACACACAAAAATCTTAAATGAGATCTAGTGAGAAGTTTTTAACACCCATAACATTCATACTTTTCATTTATCCCCTTCATCTGATTGGTCTTTTGACAATCGTTGTCTTTTCTTTATTTCTATGGATTTTGATAAAACATAGCATGCAAACTCCGTTATTCAGTGGCACTTTAAGTAGTTAAGTATCCCTTCAGAAAATGCAGTATGTGTATTTTCTGAGTTGGATTTCTCTGATTGAATTTCTCTATCTCCTTCCTCCCACCCTTGACATTTTATGAGCAAAAATAAATGACATTGGCTGAACTTGGATCTCATCACGTATAATTCTAAGAAGCCATGAATACGTTTCTCAGTTGTAAGGCAGATCACTTACCATTTCTGTACCTTGAATGGGTTGGAGGCCAGCGTGGGAACGCGGTGTTTTCCGCTCTGTGGAAATGCTTTGCTTGTGCACATCCAGAATAACTTGCTCCATTTGTTCTCATGCCGTTTATTAGATTTACCAAAACCATGGAGTTAAATTTAGGTTCTTGGAAAAGGAACTAACATGAACTTACAATAATACTCATCACTGTACCTCTTTCCCTTGACAAAAAAAGTCAACCAATTTCACATTGCCCAACACTAACATTTAAAATGTAGGAAAGTATGCGCCCGCCTCATCCAAAACTGGAAATGGGAGGTATAATTAAAAGTGCAATGATTCAAGTTCTCCTTAACCGAAGAGACAACAGCTCGCCTTTTCCTTAGGGAATTACCTTCCCTGATGATACATGCCAAAGAGCGTTTTGAAATCCTTCACAGATGCGTCCTGTCTTAAGTCAGTGACTCGTAGTTCACAACACCTAGAAAGAACATGGAAGATGGCTAAGCATAACTTGTCTCCTCTAGCCAAGCCTCACCACCCTCTGATAAAGAGAACTGACTTCAGCGTGTTGTTGTCTGACTTCCACACTCACACCGTAGCATTGCTTCCTCCCCGTGAATAAATGTAATTTTAACAAATACCAAGGAGCCAGGCATAATGGTGCACACTTTTAATCCCAGCACTTGGGACACGGAGGCAAGTGGACTCTGTGAGTTCAAAGTTAGCCTTGTTGAGAGTAAGTACAGGCCAACTAGAACTAGGTAGTAAGATCTCGATTTGAGGGAGGAAGGGAGGAGAAAAGAAACTCCAAGAATTGTATATCAACAGGCAATGCCAGATGCAGGGACTGGCATTAAATGCCAGCCTTACTACTAATTTTCTGTAAGATAATTTAATAAATTATTCTACTTATGTGGCTAAAGACTATAGACTTTCATCCTTGGACAAGTTGGTTTTTATGTGCCTTTTTTTTATCACAGTAATAAAATAGAAGTAATAATAGTATCTACTCATGGAATTCTTGTGAAAACTAAGTTAACACATGTAATTTTTAATAGTAGAGGCTGACATGCAGTAAGCACAAAGTATGTTAGCTGCCAAATGATTGACAGAAAATTCGGCGTGTGTTATTAACATCCTCTTGACCCTAATACTGAGTCACGTGATTCTGAAACCAAACCAACAGGACAAAAAAAGAGGACAATTAATTATCCCAGCCATCATGTTTCATTTTGAGAGATTGTGAACAGTCAAGCTAACTTCTGTAATAAAAACTGACATAAAATAAACTTGAGGAGTTAATTATATTTTTTTAGATGGGTTAAAAAGAGAATTAAAAATAGTTGTTGCTGGTTTCAGACATCTTGATCATTGTCTGTGTATTTTTTAATGAATTAATAGAAGGATGATGAATAAAATTAATTTTCTTTCTCATGCATCCCTTTGTGATTAAACTTACATAAGCCAAGCAAGTATCACGTCTGTAGCAGGAATAAAATTTAGAACACAAGATCCTCCAAAATAATATATTTTAAAAGAATAAGCTAGATAAAATGTTGTTTAGTAGTAACCTTACTTCTTACTGTGGGGCTATAGGTAGGGAAATTGAGGAAAGACAGAGAAAGGCTTTGGCTCATTTCTGAGGCACAAAAATTACGATGTAACTGGGCAAAGGTTAAAAAAAAAAAGATTCCAGAAAAACAGTCAAGCAAAATGACAAAGGTAAATATTTAGGTAAAGACATTTGCCTTGGCACCAAGATCTTCAGTGTGGAAAAAGACAGTTATTTCTGGTTGGTGGCTAGCTGGTTCATCTAAAAAATCAAGAGGGATGTCCAGCATGATGGACCACGAGGGATCCCAGAACTTAGGAAGCAGGGACAGAAAGAACAGGAGTTCAATGCCAATGCCAGTTACATAGCCAATCCCCGTTCAGCGTTGGCAAAAGAAGACCCAACTTCAAAAAATACAAATTGGGGATGGCTCAGAAGTTAACAGTGTGTCCTGCCTTCACAGAGGTCCTGAAGTTGGTTCCTGGCACCCACATCAGTGGGCTCACACCTCCTGTATCTCCAGTTCCAGGGGAGCTTCTGCTCTTTTTGAGACTCTGTAGGTACCTGTGCTCACATGTACATTTCCAGAGAAACACACATACATGCAATTTAAAATAATTATAAAAATTTTTTTAAATTATAAAAAAATAAAGATTGGCTGGGGGCACACTCAATGGTAGAATACTCACCTAACATATACAAGATTCTGGGTTCAATTACAACATTGTCAAATTAACAGAAAAACCAATAACAATAATAATAAAAAGATTTTGAGTGTTGAGACAAACTGTATTTGTCCTAATATTCCTTTGGAGGGCTGAACTGATGTTTGAGCTCGGAACGCTCCGCAGGAGACTTTGGACTTATCTACTCTGAGATTCACTTTACTTCTGTGCGGTGCCCCAATGCTCAGCAGGACAGGCAGCAGAGTTCCGGTTCCCAAGCCTTTTGTCTAAAAATTATGGTGCCAATTTCTCATCATCGACTCCAATTTTGTATCTTGGTTTAATGCTGCATAAAACATATTATGAGAAACAAACTTTCAAGTTGTACTGCCGAGCCCTGAAAAGTAACCTCATTTGCTGAATATAAAGTTTTGTGACTTTAGAAAATAAGCTTTAGTTATCTAAAATATCTTAAAACCACAAATCATAATTTGATAGCATGCATAAGTGAATAATAGCCACAGTGGCAAGAGAAATAATTCCATTACCTCCTATGTACATCTTGTTTAAGTCTCATATCAGGCAACGTGGCGTCACTCCACCAGCACACTTGAAACAGAGCACACAGTTTGCAGACTCTAACATTAATCTCCATTCTTCACTCGGTCGTGATCCTCCAAATTCCTGCCTGCTGAGAACAGCTATACGTCCTGTGCTTCCTAAGGGACAGACTTTAACGTCAGTTCTAGCCCTTTCCTTCCCCCACTATAAGCAATGCTTTCTGGTATAATTTGACTTCTCTGACAGTGAAGTTACCTTCAAGCCTACTACTCCTAGACAAATACTAATCAAACAACTGTTCCATATGATGCTCTGTTTGGGGGAGAGCCCCCTCAGGAGAAGCGTGAACCTCTTTAACTCCTCTAATTGTTAAAGGCAGTGCTCCTTCCATTTGCCACATGGCCAACCAAGGCACGTGCTCATGTCCAAGACATCTTCTGATATGGGCGGCTCGTGAGTGATCAGTTTCCCCAACTGGACTTGTCACACCACAACTGTCACCTTTGTTTCCATGGTATTCTCCTGATCTCTCAGGATTTAGAATTATAGATGTAAAAATGAACAAGTGAAACACCTTTGTTATTTTCAGACGGATTCTACAGTGAGATTGTATCCCCATAGCACACTGTAAGGGCCCCCAAATTGTGTGACCTTTGCTGTGCTCACACACTTACACAGCCTTGGGCCAAGCACATATGCCACAGGCTTCGACTGGTATAAGCGCCAAGATCAGATCTATCATTACTATCTACAGGTGTACTGAGAAATGACCATTGCATCCCCTTTAGGTGCTGTCCGGATGTTCTGTTTGTATATCGTTTCTTCATATATTAATGTGTGCTCCAGTATTTCCCCAAAGGAAGAAGGCAACAGGCTCTGCAAATTAGTAGACTCAGATAGATACAGTGTTTATCTTTTCTTATCATACATAAGAGTATGAACTCTTATCCACTTAAGAAAAAGTCACAATTATACCATGAGTAATATACATTCTTGCCCATGAAATGAGAACAAAACTTCTGCTTTCTGTCTTCTAGTCATTTTTCATAACCCCAAAACAAGGTATCAAAATTCATGGATGTAACCATGGGTGACAAGCTACAGAGCCATGGACTTTTAAAGCTCTCTGTAAAAGTGACCAATTATCTGTTTGTTTGTACTGCCATAACTTTATATAGTTAGTAAAAACGCTCTACAAATTTCACTCCATGTTTACTTAAAAGCACAATACTTATGGGGCTGGAGAGGTGGCTCAGCAGTCAAGTGCACCTTTCTGCTCTTCCAGAGAACTCAAGTTCAGTTTCCAGCATCCACATGATGGATCACAACCACCTGTAACTCCAGTTCCAAGGGGGATATGATGCCCTCGTATCATCGGGAAAGGATTCCATGGGTACCAGGCACACAGTCATACATGCAGGCAAACACTTATGCACATAAAATAATAAAATAAAAAATTAAGGTGTATATTTATAAGTACTTGAGCAACATTTGAATTCCAAAATGTTCTAGTATAAAAGTAAGTAGAGAGTCAGAATAAGAACAAGAAAATCAAGGACAAGAGCTGACGAGTACTAGCCGTGCTTAAGCTGAAGTAACTACTGAGGGGGAATCTGGGGAAACTTCGACCCCTTACCTTATTGTAGGAGGCTGACATTGAAGCTGTTTTTCCTTGCTTTGTAATTTGAGGGTGTGTTGTTCAAAAGAATGTTATATGACATTCGTTTAAGGAACACAATTTTACTTTTTAGTAGGGCCAGGGATTGAACCTGGGTCCTTGTGCATGCTAGACAAGTGTTCTATCCCTGAGCTACGGCCTATGTTTCTTGGACGACATTGTTTGTGCTGAACTTCCCTGCATTTTGATGTGATAGAAACTCAATAGTATTTGCTAAATACACATTCTGCCAAAATAGATAGTTTTCAGTTGTTTTACCGATGGCTAGAGTAATGTTTTTATCTAGGTTTTCTTCCTGTAACTATTATCATGAAATTTTCAGAGTGAAATCCAGAGGTCTCATATCAGAACCTGGACTCTCTATTTTAGGGACATAAAATAATGTCATTTTAACAAAATCCAAATTCTCAAATTCTAGCCTTCTGTTGCACATAGAATGCTGCCAAATCGTTGGGTACACTGTCTTAATAAACCATCTTATCATATTGTAGAAAGTGAAAACTGCCACTCTCTCCTTCCCTCTCTCCCTCTCTCCACTTCTCCCCTCCCCCCACCACCGCATCCCATATCACTGGCGTGCGCTCTAAGAGAGAAGGGAGAAAAACAATTTTTTTAAAGGTCAGATTGGAAAATGCCTTGGTTAGGGAGGACAAGAGTATTTGGTACATTTCTTTGGCAACTACAACTGATAAAGTCACTTGCACAACCCCGTGCCATCAGAGTGATGCGTTATTCCTTGACCTACCTTTGATCTGATTTATGAGATTCCTTTCCGAGCAAATGATCTTCCTAATGAAGGTGTGGTCTGCATTCCCGTTCCTTACGCCAGATCATACTGCAATAACAGGAGCAGGGTTCTAGGAGTACTCCATAATGGGTAAGTACCCTTAGTGATGCTGCAGGGCCCGTACTTGTAGTTAGAACTGGAAGGGGAAACAAAACAAACACACTGTATTCTAAGTCAGCTGGAACTTGTGAACTTGATCTCTTGACAGAGTTTAAGGTAGTACAGGCATGGGAGACGTGTTTCCTGGCTAAAGCATAACAATTTAATCAATTCCTGTTAATAATCAAGTGAACAGTTTGATTATTTAAACAAAATAATCAAAGCAATCATAATCAATTCTTCATTAATGAGGAAATGACAATGGACGATTCAGTCCAACATTTTTGACTAAATGTTGATTCCTTCATACTGATGAAAGGTCGACCAGTGTCCCTCACCACCATGGCCCTTTCCAAATATCACTTTACAAACTATTTTCACAAATTCTTAGAGCCCAGTCATGAGAAAAACAATCTTAAACAAAAAAAAAAAAAAGAAAGTAAAAGCTACACTTCAATTAAGTGGTAACTGGTAAGCTTAAAGTTTAGTCCTGTCATACAACTAATTCAAGATGCCCTTGGCTGACAATTAGGCAATAAAAACTACAAGAACGTAGATCTGAGGACTCACAGATTACAAATCTGGGCCAGAGTGTTTGGAAAATCAAGTGATCAAAATTGTCCTTTTGTCTTTATGTAAGTGACAGTGATCTAGAAGCAAGAGATGGCAGATTCTCTTCAGAAAGTGAGGATAATTTTCATGGAGTTTCCCCATTTCTTTGGGAATTAATTTCTCTTTCTATAAAAAGAAAATAAAATGTCCGATCTACCTCTATAAGAATGCCTTGAATGGCTTCACAGAAGATGCTACTGGCCAGAAAGAAGCCTGCCAAGAAGCTTTTCTAGCTCTTTCTGAGCAATCAGTGCTGTGGCACACGTGTCCTTTAAACAGCAGGAGATCTGGCTTGGTCATAACACAAATTCTGAGCTCCTAAGTGACCTCTGGGTGCTTTTCCTTTATTTTAGTCCCCAAACTCCAGATAACATTGAACATTACATGCGATAAGGGTGGGAAAGCACTTTCTCTCTTGGAAAATTCCAAAAGATAATTTTAAATATTTTCTATAGTTTATAATCTCAGCAGAACTCAAGGATATTTATTTAAATATCTGCCCAAACTTTTGTTGCCATAGATGATATCAGAGATGATAGAGTACTCCTCTATTTTTATTTCTTATCCAGCTCTTAAAGGAATGCATATATTTTGTCATTGCGCTAAAGGAATGTCAGAACTCCCTAACTGAAAATAAGATAATTTAACTTTGAGATATAAAATAAATGTAGTTCCAAGAAGGCAAGAATTAGAAGACATGTATTCTCCAATGATGCGCATTTTACCTGTTTGTGTGAATTAAAATTGTGCTGGAAAATTCCTTCGGAGACTTTTGTTTGGACATTTTCCTACAAATCCATTTGTGTAACTTTGAGTAATTGTGGATTCTTGCGCATATTTATTTTCAAAGTTCTCCTCAGAAACAGTGATTTAATTAATTACATTTTTATATTCATTGGTAAGCACAACCAACATAAAGTAAGGTTAACTACCAAGGGAAAAAAATGTTTTGGTTCCAAGTTTAATCTGTCCTCCCGAAATGGTATTTGCTAAAAAGCCCTGTTGTGAGCTACGCTATTAATCAAGGTGTTATGTTATGAACCTGGAAATTTAGGGCTCAAAATGTCTTCTGCCCTCAAGGACTAATGTATTCTATTTAAAAGCCTCAGGAATATACCTAAACCCTTAATTTAATCCTTTCTATTTTCACATGAATGTACAAAATCCAGCATTATAAATGCGAACATAAAAGACATATGATATTGTCTTTATAGTCTTTAAACAATTTCAAAAATTAGTTATAAATGCTTCCTATAGCTCAGAGATTAAGTGCCTTAATTCCATTCCCCACTGCTGTGGTGAAATTGCATGACAAAAGCAAGAAGACAAAGAAGGAAAAATTATCAAGGCATGTAATTATCATCATTGTGATATCTTTGGTTGGGGGAAGGTTTCATGAGGCTCCAAATACCAGGTTACTGTCCATCACAACAAGGAACTTGAAGCAGATCGTTACATTACATCCACAGTCAAGACCAAAGAAAAAGGAATTAATGCATGCTAGTACTCAGCTTGTGTTCTCCACTCATTTACAATTTAGAATCCCTTGTTTAGGGAATGGTGCCACCCATAGTGGACTGGATCTTACCCATCTTTGCTAACACAATCAAGATAAGGCCCCACAGACAATCCCTCATTAATACTGTTCCTAAGGAGATTATAGATGTGTCAAGTTGACAATTTAAACTAATCATCTCGTTAATATATTTTTCTATTGATACAAAAGCATATGTGTTTCACAGTATTTGGATGATAGGTTTATAATTCACCTCAAACTCACATTTTTGATTCAAATATCTGAGATAAAAATATTTCTAGGATAAGATAATACATGCAAAAACCAAATAAAATTTGTAATGTACATTAAAGGGGACTATCTAGTCACTGTGGATTTAAAAGATAATCATTTAAAATGGTAACTTCAAAATCGCCTAGAAGTATCATAAACTCTGGTACCCATTGTATCACACAGGTCCTGTCTACAGCCTCTCCAAAGTATAGAAGAGATGTATAGAAGTCACGGGAAAAATAAAATATGGAGAAATGAGGAAAAGAAAAGCACGGCGGAGAAAAAAAAAGACATTACGATGATGATGATTACATGTCTTGATTTTGTCCATTTCTGCCTTCCTGCTTGATCCAAGTGTCTAACTGGAAATGCAATTTAGTGTGTTTTGTCACTTCTGTGTTTCACAAAAGCCGAGTTCTTTTCTATCCAGCTCGGGATCTAGGCTGCGGAGGTGGGGAGAAGATGATCCCTCCTGCTGTTGCCTTCTCCCAAGATGTGATAGAGCGGAAGGCGATGAACACGTCCACTTCTGAGCTATCGTAATGATCTGCTCTGCTTTATTTATTTCTTGTGAGATTGGTAATAAAATAGCTCCTGTTCCCAAAGAACAGGGATGAAAATTCTGAAACAAATGCCATGACATATTGATATATTCCTGCTGGAAAGGAAGGAGAGAAGGGAAGAGGAATGCAGAGACAATGAGAGAATTTTCTTTTTATTTCCACTTTTACTTTAGCTTATTTCATTTGAAATTATTTATTCTAAAGGCCATGATAGCCCTGTTAAAAAAAAACAGAAAACAAATTGTCAGAAGACTTAAGTCTCATGGGGACTAAGTCAGTTTAGTTATAATATATGTAAATATATATATGTATATAGTTAAATTGTAATAATTTAGGGTGAGATTTTTGCCATAGAAAACATGTATCATTCACTACATGGACTTAGAAATGAACACAAATCAATGTCAGGCACTTCTTAAGTATGCGCTATGAGAAATCTCTACCAAAGAAAGATCACACACTGAGCAGGCAACACCAAAGAGCTTCACCCTTCCATTTTAGGAACAGTACAGAGTTAGAGAACTGAAAAGGTGAAATATTGCATAATTAGCCCAATTGTATCCTGTTATATTTCTTCCCAATTTCAAGCAATTTTAGGCTTAAATACAAGCAGTCACTTCTTAAGCATCCAGAGTGCTAAACTCTGCTTTCCCTTACTCCACTGTCAGGATCCTCAAGGACTGCACCTGCTCTGAGGAACGTGGCACATGCGTTTTATTTTAAGTAGCATCCTACATTTTTTTTTTTCTTTTCTGCTGTGCATGGAGGTTGAGATACCTTGTATGGTGTCTAGTTACAGGAGATGTGGTCAATACAGACAGTCTTGGACTGTCAGTCACTTCATTAGAGAACAGGCAACTTATATGAGGTCATGTCTTTCCCTGGGTACCCATTCAGTTACTGACTGAGATGAGGTGGATTCATTTTTGTCTGGTGTGATCTGTGGGCCACTTCTGCTGCAGAGTTCCCCAAAGAAGGCTGTTACTATGCCTTTGCTGTGCATTGGCAACTCGGTGCCTGTACCACTACTCTCCAAGTGCATTTTCCAAGAAAAGATTCAACGTAGAAAGTAATATGAGAAGTTTGCATAACAATACCGATATATATGCAGATAGGTTATATATAAATTATGAGTTTCTTTGGGGGTATCTCTTAAGTCATCTACATGGTCTTTGGTGCCAAGCGTGGTAAGTGAAATACGGCATGAAACTGCCACGAATTAAATCATCCTGAACCAGAATGCTGGAATAACATTGAAATTGTAATATTTTAGAAATTCTTTTTCTATTACTCACTCTACATGAGCTTATAATATAAATACAGAAAAAATATTTTTCTTGCAAAGAACAAAAAAAAATGTAAGGTAACTATAGCCAATATCTCGTTATGATGCTATGCTCTTGCTATTTAAGAGATTCTGATCCACAGTTCTATGTCTATGAAGGAATATCCATGAAAGTTGCGTTTACAGCCTTCTTTCTACCCTCTTCTCTGATAGTGGGAAGCAATGGCATGAATGGTTTTTTTTTCTATAATTTGGAACAATCTTCCCACAGTCAGTAAACATTACTTCCTCTTTAGTAGGAAGACTACTGAGCCTTCAATTACTTGGGAAATTATTTTGGTGTGAGAGGATGAGAGTAAATTAGTAAATCTCCTTGCTTTCAGTCTAATCTACAGTCCTTAATCAGGTGGAAAGGTACTTTCCCACACAGATATCTCAGATAGGGAGAGAATATGTTTAGGTCACGGCTCCTATCTGACACCTAGCCATTGAGCCCTTGCCTGATGTTTTACAAGACCCTCTTCTACTTGGGCCCTCATCCCTAAATTTCTTGAAGAGTTTGATGAAGATGTGTGTTTAGGAAAGGGAGGGGGCTTATTTCGCTTCTTGTTTTGTGTTTCTAGTATTTTTTAAATTATTGGCTCAATCTCAGTTATAAGTTCATGCAGCGTTTCTATTTCTAACATGTCCGTATTAGCAGCAGGCTGTACTTTCCCCTTTTGTGGCCCAGGTTTCAGTTTTCTTGAGGATGTGGGTTTCTGGCTCGATTGTGCCCCATATTC